CAAGCCGCCCAAAAGAGGAAATGCAGGCTCCAGAAAGAAAAGAAAGATATCGGAGATGTCGGGCGGGTAGCGGGGGGCGGAAGAGCTGCGCTGGCAGTCGGGGTGTTGGCTATGAGCGTGTTGCGCGTTGGTGATTGAAGTTGAGGTTGAGAAAAAAGGGGGGGGATAATACAGCAGGCGGTGGAATGCACAGAAATGCACTGAGATGGGATCGCGGACACGGAAGTAGCGGAACAAGCGGGTCACGGCCGACCAATGCACGGAGCGAACAAAACACGAGACGAGGAAATGGTAAATCGTAGCAGTGTCAAAGAATGCGTCGAAACAAAAAATGAGTGTTTGTCGATGGAAAAATAAAATAACAAAATAAGAAAATCGAGCAACAAACGATTGGGGTGACAAATAGGAGCTACTCGTAGACAATTGGAAGGATCAAAGGGCGTCTGGCGGAGGGTCAAGGGAGGTGCGACTGGTGCGTGTTAAACACGAATTGACGGCAGGCGCAAGTCAGGTCTACGTTCTTGACGTCTGTTGACAAAAACACTCCGCGTGGAAGGTGCCGAAGCCGATTCGAACAGGTGGTTCGTTCCATTTATTCTGTGCATTCGAGTCGGGATGGATGAAAGAGGCAGCCACGACCCACGGTCCACGGCCCACGGCAATAATACGTCGTAGCTAGTACGTTGTAGGGGTCCTCCTAATTCGTAGACGTGATTTCAATGCTTCAGATGGCGACGAGTGGCCTCAATTGGCCTCACTTGGTGGGGCTGGCAGCTGGGATTTTGCCAAACTGTTCAGTTCGTGTCCAGTCCAATGTCGGCGTGCCTGCGCCTGTACGCCTGCTCCAGTACAGAGTGTATCTAGCAGTGTACGGTGTCTGACAGAGGACAAGGGACAAGAGCCACTGAGTAAGAAACACGGCCCGCTGCAGGGGATAAGGCTACCAAGACAACAACCCTGAGGCAGGAGACAACTAGGCCCTCTTCGGGATAGGGCGTCCCACTGCACAGAGAGCTTTTAAGGGCTGTACGAGAAACGGACACGAATGCGAGGACATAGGATTTTGCCTGTGATTAGAGACCCATCACGAGAAAGCCGTAATTTGCGTGTCTGCATGTTTTTCTATGCAAGGCTAAATTGGGAAGGGAGGATAGCATACAATAATGTGTTGGCCATTGACTTTTGAGCGACACAAAGGAAGAAAAAGCGTTGCGACGTAGACGAATGGCCAACGGAAGACTCTTTGCCTTCCTGAGAAACTCATTTTTGGAGAGGCCATGATGCCAGAATCTATGAAAACGCAATGCAAATGTATTGTATCGCGAGTGAAACAACGGACCGGTAGACTATGGAAAAGCTCAAGTTTCGACTGGAGGCAGAGCGGCCGTGATGAAGAGTCAATGACAATGGAGATCATGACCAACTTTTGTAAATAATTTTAAAACCCGTGCATGTAGATGAAATGATGAAAACGAGATGAAAACAACGTGATGAAAGAGAGTTAGAGAACGGACCACCATTCCCCATCACGAATGCAATGCTTTCAAAGTACGCCCCTGAATACAAAAATCAATAACGCCCAGCAAGCCCCAAACAGCTTCTTTCTATACCTTCTTCTTCCGGGCAGGACGCCCGCGCTTCTTCGGCTGCTCGTCCCCACTGTCACTCTCAAACTTGAGCTTCGTCCCGCTGGCGGGTCCGCCGCTGTTGGCATCGCCGCCGGCCGCGCCCTGGGCGCCCGTGCTGTTGCGCGGCCCACGGCCGTGCTTCTCCTCCGGGTCGACCTTCTTCACAATGTCCCGGAGAAAGTCCCACTGGTCGTCTGACTCCACAACCTGCTTCAGCATCTGTGCTGTCACGCGCTTCGAGTTCTTGGTGCGCGCCACATCGGCGCTCTTGGACACGAGATTCACCATGAACATCTCCAGGGCCTTGCCGACGGCAATGGGCGTCTGCTGGGACACCTTGCCGACTTCTTCATCCGCCTGCATGATGCGTTTGATGCGTGCCGTCGGGAACTTGGTGCGTACGGGTGACGTGAGAACAACGTGAGCTACAGGTGGCGCTGCGCCCACGGGGGCTGCCAGCGAGCCTGCAGCATCTCCTGGTCCTGGTCCTAGTCCTGGTCCGCCCGCTGCAGCGGCGGCTGATCTTCGTGGCGGCATCCCCTCTGTTTTCGGGATGGGCGACGCGGGCTGTGCGTAGCTTTGCGGCCGGTCAAAGGACGGCTGTTGTCCCTGTTGCTGCTGCAATGCCAAAAACGGGTCGCTTTGATACGAGTCGTTTGCAAAGAGATCCTGCTGCTGCGGCTGGTACTGCTGCTGCTGCTGCTGCTGCTGCTGCTGCTGCTGGTATGGGGGCACAGAGTAGCCCTGGTAGTACGGCGGCTGCGCAGACTGGCCCGGTGGAACGTAATAAGACTGCGACTGCCGCTGTTGCTGCTGCTGCTGCTGGCCCGGCTGTGGTGATGTCGACGGCTGCTGGGGCGGTGACTGCAGAAACGACGACAACTGGCCCAGGTTGTGGGGCGGCGGCGGCGGCGGCGGCTGCTGTTGTGTGGTGGAGTAGTGCTGTGGTGGGGGTTGGTAGTAGCCCTGCTGTACGGGAGACTGTACGTGCTGCTGGGGCGGGTAGGAAGGCTGCTGGCCGTACTGTTGCTGCTGGTGGTACGCAGGGATCTGCTGTTGGTGATGTTGATGTTGCTGAGTTGGTGGTGCCGGATCCGAGAAAAAGGATGACAGGTCCGGAGACTTGGGAGCGTACCCCCCGTCGCCCGACATGGCGCTTATGTGTATTATTGGTGGCAGGGCGAGGGAGCGCGCGCCCGCCTTGCTAATATCGATCTTTTTTTTTTTTGGCGGCGACAGCGGCGGGTTTTCGGGTCGTATGGGTTTGGCCTTTTGGCTTTTGGCCTTGTTCACAGCTTGCTTGACCCGTTTGGGAGTTGAAAGGGAGCTATGGTGTCCTGTGCGCGAAATTGCGGACTTTTAATTTGGCAAGAGCTGGAGCTGGAGCGACTTTGCTGCTTTCGGCGGCAGTGTGGCCCACAATGCGAGTCTCTTAAAAGTTACCGCTGGCAATTGCCCAAGCTCTGCCTGGGAAAGAATCGTAGAATGAGGAACAGACAAGCCTGCTCTGGATTGGCTGCCAATGGGTGTTAGTACAGTCGCCAGGAAGGGAAGGAAAGACGGGTGAGCGTGGAAGTGGGGCTCGTGTGTGCTGTTGGCCATCCGCGAGTTCCCAAATCAAAAAAGGAAACAGCAACCCGACATCACAGGAACCGACAACACAGGTGAAATAGTTCAGAACCTGTCGTCAGGGCGTATTGTCACAGAAACGTATTGTTGTTGGAGGAGCCAGCTGCCCGTACTCAAAGAATGACAGGTGCCAATGCGTCTCGAAATAATGCGGTGTGGTGGCATCGCGCAGGGGACAGTGCATATATTTACCTCGAATCTGCTCCTCACGGGCTCAACTCCGTCCTAGGACTTTTGCACCGATAAAGAGCTGTTGCCTGTACGGAGTATTGTGCGCAACTGCTTGGCAATTCGGCAGGAGCTCACGAAAAGACCGTCGACCAGTTTAGGCAAGTCACGCTGGAATAATGTGTGTATTGTGTATCGTATGCAAATGGAAAGAAGGGGAGCCTTGGCGTGGAAAGATGGAATAAGACGGAATAAGGCGCTGCAATTGGCGTATTTTGGAGGGGTGGACAAGCTATTGGGGGCCAGAAAAGGAGGAAAGAGGCATGTGTTGTGGAGTGGGAAGGGGCGAGTCGAGCTCTCCGTCGTGGTCCTTTCTCGGCCTTCCGCGTTCTTCCCCCTTCAGGCCATCGGATTTTTCGTGGGACATTGCGGCCGTTTATATGCGCGACGCGGCGCCAGGCGCGACTTCCAAACAAGGAGCGGGGCAGAGGGGTGTGGAATATCCGTCTCTGATTGGCCCAAAATATGCGGTGCACATACCGAAGCCTCCTTCCTCGCTTCCTCGCTCCCCACCAACACGCCCAAGCTTCCTGAATCAGGGCCCAGAGCTAGCAACGCCTCTAGCTTTTGCCGTCTTTGTCTCTTCATCAAGTCCTTGCCGCAACACAACTCAATACAGAGGGCGTATCTACTCTTCTGTGCCCGCGCAACAGCGCATCGCGCATTGCAAGCGCGCAATAACGCACGATGCGTACGGTTCTGCCCTCGCCTACAAACAGACGGGACGCATGCAAAGAGGAACCGCGGAACGAATATGACTGACACTGCGCCTCTCTGCTCCTCTAGACGCGTTTTCTCTGGCTCCATGTCTCCATGCCTTCATATCGCCATGCGAGCGTGGCTATGCCTCTCTATCCATGATCGCCAGGGGTCGGCATGGCAGGCAGCGGGAAGATGGGGCGCTCGAGACGCGCAGAAGCTACAACGGCAGGATACTCAGATCCCAATGGCAAATGGCTGAGCCGCAGATCGTGTGCAGCCTGGTAGACGGGTGGGGTTACGAGGAAACCAGCCGCTCAAGCCGAACGGTGTACAACGACGCAGGTGCGCAAAAGCGTGTTTTATGTGACACAAGAGCACAGTCGCCTAATCCGAGTGGGTATACGGGTGTACAGCGCGTTCACTCCCGCCATTGTGGCTCTCCGTCATCGAACAGTGGCCGCTGAGCAAGTGCTCTACAACCAGCTGTGACGGGGCAACAGTGACGGGGCAAGTCAAAGCGTCAAAATCAACCCCTCGATGCCGCAGTGATGAAAAACGAGCAACTGAGGCGACCACAAGGCCGCGCATCGATGGTCGAAGCCGAGCTTGTTTGTTGCGAGCTCTGGTTCTGATGTCTGCGCGGTACGCCTGTGACGGTCCTTTTTTTACTTGATCTAATCTGAGCGGCGACCCGTGGTCCTTGTCTTTTGCGTGAATGCTGCGGGGAGAGTTCCGATGCGTGCCCGCCTTTGAGAATCCAAGACTTTCCTTATTGCGTTTTCCCGTCATGGGTGTGTAACGTAGCCGCTCGAGCTAACGCATCCTTCGTTTTACTTCGCCGACGACGCGACGAAGCCCTTCGAAACGCCGGGCATTCGACCGCGCGAGAAACAGCGACGCAACGGGCCATGCGTGCACGCCAAGACCGCCATCGTCCACGCTCGTCTGCACATCCACGCCGTCGGCCTGCAGACGGTCGACCCATGCGCGGATCTCGGGCGCGAACACCTCCTCCGCGCCGTATGTTGCAAAGATGCCCTTGGCTGGACAGGCTCGACGCCACCATTTGCTGTCGCGACAATGGCCCGGCGAGAGGACGGGGTCTTCGCCTGAAATCCCTGGCGCGCCAGCCGTCTTGCCCTCGTACAGGGCTGCGTAACTCGCAAGCGTCTCGGCGTCGATGTAGTCATTCGCCGACCGGCGGTATCGCTGCGACCGCAGAGTCACCCACGGCGATATGAGGACAGCCATACCCGGCAGCGGCAGGGGAAGGGGCGGGGGTGGAGGCCGTTCTAAAGGGGGGGTCTGGGATAGCCGGAGCAGCAGGCTAAGCACAATCGTGCCGCCAGCAGAATCCCCCGCAACCACAATGCGCGCAGGATCTCCCTGGGCCGCCGTAGACAGGACATGGGCGTAAGCGTGGGCAGCCTCGTCGATCTGGGTTGGGAAAACAGCGTCCGGGGCCAACGTGTAGTCTAAACTAAAGATGGCCGGGTTCCGGAAGCCAGCGGGCTTCTCGTCCCCAGGACTGCCTTCCATCAGTAGAGCCGCCCATGCGAGCAGAAATTCCAAGTAAAAGTGCGACGACCCGAGAACGAAGCCGCCTCCTGTACGATTGCGTTAGCCGACAGAAAGGCCTTCTTTTTGTGGACTTGAAATAGCAGACCAACCGTGGACAAAGAATAGAACAATGTCGGGCGGGCGGCTTGCATCATATGTTATCCACATGCCCCTGAAGTGTTCCTGTCGAACAATGTTAACATGGAGTCAAAGGGGCGGCCTGCAGTGAATACCCTACATCGTGATGCTCTCGCCAGCGGAGTATGGACACCGGCCGAGGCCGTGGCCATGGCATGAGTGAAGCCGCAAAGGGCGGCAGAAGAAATGTGGTAAAGGACAGCGCGTGAGAAAGAGCGGCCCGTACGAGCCGACCGGCTCCAAGCGCCTGCAGCTGCCGAAAGCGGTGAAATGGCAGCGCCACCGACCGCGAGAAGAAGACGCGGCCAACATGGGGATCCGTATGAATAAAAGCCCAGCGCACGCAGCAGAGCACGACTTCTTCGAATAGGGAGGGCCGCTGCTGCTGCTGTTGCTGCTCGGCCCGGCCGCGCCGCCAGCCTGCAAGCTGCCGGTGCGCAACGTCGAGCGGCATTTGGAGCACAAGAAACGGCAGCGCCTGCAGAATGGACGCAAAGGTTGCGCGTATCCCCGCCTGCAGGAGCAGCTGCGGTGCAAGGCAGACGCAGAAGACGAGGCAATGGAGCAGCGAGACGGGCGGTAGCAGCACTGGCGGCGGTGTCGCGTCGTGGTCGCGCCGGGGCCGGTGCGGAGCCGGCGACGAGTGGCTCATGATGTCATTGTCCTAGGCTGGATGCTCTTTGCTGAAAACGACGCGTAACAAATGCTTTTTTTACGCGGTTTGTCGCGGTTGTTAGTCGTTGGTGATGGATGTTGTTTTGTCCAAGTTGGAATTGCGTGGTTTTGGTGACGCTGGTCGGTATCTGGGAAGGACGGCAGAAACCGTAGCAAAACGTGGTTGGCTTTTCGCTCGAGACATCATCGGATCATGACACACGGATCGACGCTATTTTTAAACGCGACTTTTTAAACGAAAAAAGAACAATAAAACGCATTTATTTTACAAAGCACCACAAACGCGACAAATAAATACTCTAAAAAATCACATTGTATTTCTAAACTACTATGACACGCCCTGAATTTTTATTGTATTTTATGACGCGTATAGTCGCCGAGTTTCGCTGTCTATTATGTTCGCGTCTAGGGTTTTACTTGGCGTGGCGCTTTGCCTGCTCCTCACCGAGGATCGTCTGCTCCATCTTGTCAAACGCGCCCACAACATGGCCATACTGCGCAAACTCCTTGGGCCGATAGCCCACGTCCACCTTTTCGATCTGGCCCTCGGGTGTCCAGCGCTTGCCAATCAGCTCGTCAAACGTCTCGTGCTCGCTCGTGCGCTCAATCGACCACAGCGCCTTGTACGCGCCACCCAGCGCACACGCGTTGCCGCCCACGTCGAGACGGTACACGCCCTCGGCGCCACCCAGCACCTCGCCCAGCACCTGCGCAATGGCCGGGTTGAGCGAGCCTCCGCCGACAAGGTAGATGCGGCGCGGCTGCGCGGGGAGGCGCGGCGCGTCGGCCGTCGCACCGGGCTGGTCGTGCACGAGGGGCTGCGAGCGGAGACGCATGGACAGCGCCTGGGACTCGACTATGAGTCGCGCGTCCTGCTCCGCCGACGTGTGGGCCGCGGTCGCCGGCGCGAGGTCGCTACCGTCGGCCGGGTTGCACGTGTACCGCCAGGTGCCCGCCGGGATGTTGGGCACGATCTCGTTGATGTAAAAGTAGAGGCCGAGCTTGGCCTTGTCGCTGCCGCTGCCGCCGCCGCCACCAACACCCGGCAGCCCCAGCACAGGCGTGTCCAAGACGGCCTTGTTAAAGTTGGCCCACGGATCGCCGCCCGCGGGCGCGGGCGGCAGCTGGTCGCGCACCTTTTCGCGCGCCAGGCCGCCGTTCTTGTAGCACAGCATGAACATGTACTGACCGGGCGTCGTCGGGTGGTTGAAGAAGTGGTAGCTGGGGTCGGGCTTGTAGTGCGGCGTGACCATCAGGAACGTCGTCGACGTGCCGAGGCTGACAATGGCGTCGAGCGGGCGCAGCGGCAGCGCCAGGATGGTCGCCGGGTTGTCGCCCGTGAACGGGGCAATCTCGCAGTCGGCCGACACGCCGTACCGCTGCACAAAGTACGACGCGATGCGGCCCATGCTGCCGCCACCGTCCACGCGCACCTCGCCGAGCTTCCGCCGCAGGTCGGCCGCGCCGCGCGCGCCGTTGCCGGCCGCCAGCTCCAGCAGCGGCTCCGACCACTGCTGGTGGGGGATGTCCCAGAGGTCCATGCCGCACACGTCGCTAATGTCCATGGGCGCCAGGCGGCCCAGCAGCACCGAGGCCACAAACGACGACACAAGCGAGATGCGCGCCGTCTTGGCGTACACGTCGGGCCACTTGCGGCGGATGCGCATGATCTGCGTGCCCGTGAAGCGGTGGTGTGCGGCGCTGCCCGTGACCTCGGCCAGGCGGTGGGGGCCGTCCGATTTGGACTCGTCCTGGGCGAGGCGCGCGTCGAACTGGTCGCACTCGTCCTGTGTGCTGTGGTCCTGCCAGTTGGGGGCCCACGGGCGGGAGAAGGACCCGGCTAGGCGGTCGGCCAGGCGGTCAGCAGGCGCGGCGGAGGATGCAGTCGTGGCACGCGTCGTCGTCGTCGCCGCCGCCGCCGCTGCCTGCAGGTCGGCCAGTTCTTGGGCGGCGCCCTCGGACCAGTAGACGCTGCCGTGCTGCTGGCAGGAGCCGCTGATGGCGCGGATGCGCGACAGGACGCCGGGGCCGTTGCTGAGGTCGTGCAGGCGCTGGAAGACGAGGTCGATGGCCTCGAGGAACAAGGCCACGGGCGCGTAGACCTCGCCCTCTTCGTCGTTGACGAGAACGCCCTTGGTGAGGCCATACTTTTCGCCAAAGTCGGCGTCGAAGTCGACCTTGGCCTGGGCGACAATGCTGAGGTCCGAGGCGACCACAATGGCTGCGCGGCGTGAGTAGACACGGACGAAAACGAAGACACAGCTAGGAGTAACCCCGGAAGCATGGGAAGTCTGTGCTGCCTACCTTTGAGCTGCTGGGTCGAGAGATCGAAGCCCAAGTACAGGGGCCCCTGAGAAGCACCTGCCGCCATTGCGATGATGTCAAGGTGGGTTGGGGTGTGTTGTGGAAGGAGCGCGAAGGGGTTGTTGCGAGGAAGGAGCAACCGCTTTGCGAAGCGTAACGACAGTATAATCCGAAATGTGGACGAGAGACGAACGCAGTTGAAAAGACCAACGTGTATAAGAACAGAGTTTAATACATAAAGGCCTGGACTCCAGAGCTTCTATTCAAAACCACGAGACATCTGATATACCGCGAAAAAGGCGGCGACAACTACCCCCAAAACGGTTTCCCCAATTCTTCCAATTCAGTCAAGTAATAGCTTGTCGTCGAGGGCAAAAAATACACCAAAACAGGGGACAAACACCCCCCACGGGCGATCCGATGACCGCAAGCTTCGCGCTAACTGCCGACGTTTTCTCAAAGTACCCTGCCGCGTCAAGGTCTCGATGCTCTGTGGTGTCGGAATTCCCATTTTCGGAGGGGTTCGAGGGGCTGTGGCGGCAGCCTCGTCGCTCCCATCGCTCTTTCCATTTAGGCTAAACTGCCGTCGACACCCGCTGCATGTGTATTTTTCTATTTTTCCATTTGCTGGGCCATTTCTTAGGCTTAGCCCGCCGAGCCCGCATATCGGCAGCTTAGGTGGGCCTGGCCGCATTTTTCATCTGGTATTTGTACTCAGTATTTATTTGGAGATTTAGCAATTTGGCGCACACGTGGAAATTGGAAGCAATACATTGTGAAGCTGTGGCTATTCACAAGAAAAAGATGTTTGTATATGTTGTCTTTCTTTACTTTTGTCTCTATCTCTCTTTTCTCATATATCGAAACAGTGGAAGGCCGCAATGGAGTGCGGAAGGCATTCATACAAGAGACTTACGTGACTGAAGGCGGTTAGACGATGTCGTTTGCCGGCAATCAGTGTTTGTGTGGCTTCCCGTTCTGGTCATGATCGTGGTCGTGGTCGTCGTCTTCGGGCTCGGGGCTCGACCGTGGGCTGATGTCGCCCGAGATAAACTCGTCAAACTTCTCGACCGTCTCGTCCAGCCTCACAAACCGCACGTGCACCCGCCGCACGCCGCGCACCGAGCTGCCCACCCGTGTGCGCACAGCATCCTCAATCGACCGCACATCCTCGACCGTCCAGTCGCCCGGCACCGCGAGCTCCAGGTCCACCAGGTAGTTTTGGCCCGACTTGACACCCGACACGTCGCGCAGCTCCGCCAGATGCTGCTGCCCATTGGCGAGCAGGGCACCGCCGTCGAGCGCCTTGGTGACGCTCTTGCGCACGGACCGCTTCACGTCGTCGTCGATGCTGCGGTCGGCCAGCTCGTAGAGCGCGGCGGCCGTGTTCTCCCAGCCGGCGCGGATGACCAGCAGCGAGATGAAGAGGCCGCCGACGGGGTCGAGCCACGACGCGTCGTGGATGAGGTTGGCGCCGAGAATCGCAAGGAGAGTCACGATGCCTGTCAAACTATCGACGCGGTGGTGCACGGCATTGGATGCAAGGACCGACGATTTGCGTTCACGGGCAACCTTCATAGCTGAGAAGGATGTGTGGTTAGTTTTTTTTATGTTCATACGTGTATTAGAGTATTATACGGCTGGGTGGGGAGGGGGGAAGAGTGAGTACTCACTCGCTCGGTAGAGCCACTCCTTGACAAGCACGGTGCCCAGCGCCAGCCAGGCTGCGTGTAGGCTTGGGCCGTCATGCCCGTGGCTGTGGCTGTGGCTGTGGCCGTGGCCGTGGGCCATGACCTCGGCGGCAGCTGCTGCATCCAAAAAGAAATGCGCGTACAGGATCTGTAGACTGCTCATGCACATAAAAATGCCGCCGCCGAGTAGCATGCTCGACACGCCCAGCGACCCCAGGCTCTCCACCTTGCCGAAGCCCGTAGGGAACTTCGCCGTCGGTGGACGCAAGCTCCACGAGACCGTGGCAAGCGTCAAAATGTCCGACGCCAGGTCGGTCAAGCTGTGCCAGGCATCGGCGACCATGGACTGCGAGTTGAAGTAGTAGCCGCCAGCGCCCTTGGCCAGGGCCATGCCCAGGTTGCAGTAGAGGCCAATGCGCGTGATGCGGACGCCGGCATCGTTCTTGTTCTGGGACGTGAGGTAGGCATTGTCGTGGTGGTGATGGTGGCCGCCGAAAAGGCCGTGCGAGTGGGCGTGGACGTGGTCATGGCTGTGGCCGTTGTCGCCATCCTTGTCGTTGGATGCAGCGTGCGAGTGCGCGTTGTCGCTTTTTGACCGTGCCTGGATAGCCATGAGGGCCGGCAGCCAGCGGGCGAATTTGCGCCGTTGTTTTCGAGAAAAAGATGGTGTAAATTGTGCCAATGTTTCGGAAGACGACGACGAGGACGACGACGAGGACGACGACGAAGAATATGATGGTGATGACGATGATGACACTGAGGATGAAGACGATGCCAATGGACGGCGGAGCGTGGAAAGCGACGGAGATCTGGGTGCTGGTAGATCTGATGGTGACAGCGGAGGTCGGCTGGCGCGTGATGTTAATGTGAATGTGGCTGACGTAGAGGAAGGGAAGATGGTCGGAATCGCAGTCGACGACGAGGTCTGGAACACGCGACGCTGCGACGACGATTGATGTGGTTGAGGTGGCCTCAGTGCCTGGCTAAAGTCGTAATGGTGTTGGCGGTACGGTTGGCCGGTGGTGCTGGAGTGGTGGTTGCAGTAATAATACACGCGGCAGTTGCTGCGGTTGGCTGCGCTGCGATTGCTACTGTAGTGCTGGGCGCTTTGATTGCTGGGGTAGAGCGGATGGCGGCTGGTGCGAAACGGAGCTCGGACAGATCCAGCTGCCGCCCTGCACAGCACATTCAGACGCAGCGGCCGGCCGCTAGACGGCCCGTGCCAGCAGAGTGGTGACGGCATGCTCTGTGAGGGCGACAGTTGGGGGTGTGTGTTGCGAGGCAGAATGTGAAGCTTTGGGGACAGCGTGGGACGTGAAAAGTGAACGGTACGAGAGGATGTCGTTGTGGCGGATCCAGAGGCAGGATCCAGGGGCAAGAGCGGGGGACGGACAAGAATAGAAATCGCAAGAAGGAGCGGCTTTGGCCAGATCAAAAGGGAAGGAGGGTGCGGGAGGAAAGCAGGAAGCAGCTGGGCCAAAATGAAATATCCAAGAAGGAGCGAACGTGATGGACCGAGAAGCGAGCCAGAAGCAGAAGCGGACGCGCGCTGGGTTTTGTTTCTGCAGCGAGGCCGCCGCGACGGAGCCGATGGTAGGGAAGATACGCAGTAGCACGAAAACAATGGCTCCGTAGTCGATTTCAGGTCCTGTCCTCTTCCGTGGAACAGCGGTCACCAAAGCGGTCGAATGGGCCCTGGCTGGCGGCAGTTAGGCTTTTGGACTGTCCTTTTTAGCGGACCGCGATTGCGCCTTCCCCCGTAGCGCAATGAAGGTTGCCGAGCTGGAGTGGGCTGACTCTTTTGGTTTTGTTGGGTTGTTCCTGCTGCGCCATCATCTTTTTGGTCCCCAGTATGATGCCCCCAATCCAGTTTACAAGGGCGGAAAGCGGAAAGCGCCAACCCGTATGGTTCGATTCTCGCGACACAGCAATCTTCCGCTCCCGTGCGTAGACAGCGGCCAGACCAGGCAGGAACGCCCCCGCTCATCTGATAGCGCGGAAGGAGGGTTGATCGCGGACGGAGATAAGACTATGCTCTTCGACTCTATACTGCAGCTGCTATCTCGCGAACCCATTCCTGCCTCACCAGGAAAGACAATGGGTGATCTCCACCATGACGATACACTTAACGATGTACCCCACCCGGACCGAGAGTCGATGAGTTACGACGCGCTGGAAAACGCCTGGAGCGCCCCAAAACTATCCGAAGGCTCCCTAAATCTATCCGCTACCGGCCCCACCAGTATGCTGTAAAATTATAGGCATGGCTTGCACACCGCGTCCTTCACCTCATCTAGCCGCGGCCAGCCTTCCCTTCTCATCGCCCAATAGACGCCCATTCCAACCATCGAAGCCGGCCACCAATCTCCCACGGGTTGCTTCCCCGATACGGCGTGCAATTGGGCTGGAGCAGGCTGTTCCCTGTAAGTCCTTTCAGCTGTGCTTGCTTGGCAGATTATTCCCTGGAGAAACGCGCAGACCGGGGAATTTCGGACAGCCGCGGATCTAGGACTTTCTTTCACGCATATTCGGCACGTCTCTCGGGCAGGGTATCTGGGGAATGCCACGGTGCACACTGGACACTGGACGCCGATTCACATTCAGCACGACATGGCCGTTCGCAGGCCGCTCCTGCGCATCCCCTACACCGAGGTCTTTGCAGCTCCGCGCATCATCCCGCGCCATGCCACCACCCCGTCAGCGGCCGTTGAGGCTCTCAGCGCCTTCATGACGGCACCACCCCGGCCGGGCTTGCCTTCGTCTACGGTGGTGCTGACCGGTGCCGGGCTGTCGGTGGCCAGTGGCCTGGCCGACTACCGCGGCGAGAACGGCACGTATCGGGTTAACAAGACGTACCGGCCCATCTACTTTCACGAGTTCCTGGCAAGTCACGAGGCACGCAAACGGTACTGGGCACGCAGTTTTTTGGGCTGGACGACGCTGCATGAGGCCAAACCCAACACGAGCCACTATGCTCTGCGGGACCTCGGCCGCCTTGGCTATGTACACTCGGTCATCACGCAGAACGTGGACTCCTTCCACCATGCCGCCCACCCCGACCTTCCGTCGACCGTCGAGCTGCACGGCTATCTCCGGGCCACCGTCTGCACCACCTGCTACCGCGAATACCCCCGCGATACGTTCCAGGACGAACTGGCACGGCTCAACCCCATATGGGCCGAATTCCTTGCCGACGCCATCGCGGCAGGCGCCTTTGCGCCCGAGGACCCCACCACGGAGGCGCCAGCGCGGCGCGAGCCCGCCAGTCTCTCTGCCATCCGCGGTGTTCGGACCAACCCCGACGGCGATGTGGACCTGCCGAATGCGCCATACACAACCTTCCGCTACCCGCCCTGTGCGCACTGCCTAGCCAACCCGCCAGTCGCGGACGACGGCACCACGATGGCCGTCGAGGTCGACGCGGATGGAGCGTGGGCGCTGCCCCACACTAGCAACCAGACGGACTGTGGCACCAATGTCCGGTTTCCGGGTATCTTGAAGCCGGCGGTCATCATGTTTGGCGAGAGCATCTCGCCGTCTGCCAAGCATGCCGCGGAGGCCGCCGTGGACGGGGCGGGCCGCCTTCTCGTGCTGGCTACCTCCCTTGCCACATACTCGGCATGGCGTCTGGCGAAGCGGGCCAAGGACCGCGGGATGCCCATTGCTGTTGTGAACGTGGGTGGCGTCCGGGGCGAAGACGCCTTCTTTGCTGACCTGGACGACAACCAGCCGGGCGCGGCCGGTGTCCGCGTTGAGGTACCCACGGATGCTGTGTTGCCACCACTTGTGGACGAGCTGCACAGACTAGCACCGGGCGGCGTCTACCAACAAGGCACAGGTCACGGTACCAGCCAAGTCGATCCGGCCTTGTTCAGGGATATGCTCTCATAATGATTGGGCGAATAGACCAGAAATACTGTAAATAATTTAAAAAGCATGTTTATAGTCATGGGCGTTTGCTTAATAGAAGTTGGCGGTCGATGTGATCTTGGTCGTCGAAGGGCCGCTCTGCGTGTTCTGTTGACTCGCTTCGGGAGCAGGTGCGGCTTCGGCTGTCTTCTTTTCCTGGCGTCGGAAGTTGCGGGTGACTTCGTCGCTCTCGATTTCTTTCAGGACTGTAGTGTGTGTCAGTACCGTTTGCCCGACCCCCAAACACAATAACGGTGGCCCGTCGCACGAGCTGCCTTACCCGAATCCCACTCGGCCTCCTTGGCCGGATCGCCGGTGCCCAGCGCGCTCTCCACGTCGACTTTCTCGCCCTTTTGGATGCGTTCAATCACGTCCCTCAGCAGGCCGATCTTGACGTCCGACTGCCGCATAAACGTGTCAAAGTCCTTCTTCAGCGCGATCATCTGGATGGACATGGAACCGATGAACAGAAACAAAAAGATGTAGAACGTCGCGGGGTTCCACTCCTTGGCGTTGCGCGCGTTGGAGACGGCATTGGCCACGGGCAGCGTGCCGTCCTTGCCACGGCGCAGCGGCTTCGGAACGAGCTGCTTCCAGAACGAGGACTGTGCAACTGTCGGCAGCGAGCTGTAGGATTGTCTCTGAACGGCGAGAGACATTAGCCGGGGAGATGTCAACGAAATGTGGCGCGCAGCCGCTGCGCGGAGGCCACGGATCGTTGTTGCGTTCATTTTGATAACTACCGCGGAGGATTTTGCTGGCACTTGGACGTCGACAAAGACGAAGGTCGTCGGCCGATGGGACGATGGACGTTGAACGAAACTCGCTGAAGACTTCCATCTGGAAAATTGCCGCCGTTCTCTGCCAATCGAATTGTGGAGCGTCGCGGCCTGTCTTGTTCCTTAGCGCTGGTTGCCGTGCCAACACGGGGCCGATAGTTGTTCCGCGTACAAGCAACAATACCGCCGGTGGGACCTTCCCTGTACGCGCCGTTCGGTCGGTCATGGGCATGGACGGCAGGTGCGACTCTGCCCCTGTCGCCCAACGCCCCTGCCTGAGCTGAGCTGAGCTGTTTGGACGAGCTTTGTGTGTGGCCTTTGCCTGTTTCGACTGGACTGTTTGATCACACCGAATTCACGCCTTTGCTATCTGACGACACTCGACCTTCACCTTCACGTCTTGCCCCCCTGCATCAGACGCGTGTTTTTGATTTTCTGCGTTGGAGGGTAGACTTAGACTTGTTCTCGTCAGCAATGCTATGATTAAGGATCAACCGGTTATTGCCTTTGCTTTCCTCGTTATACCCTTTTGCTTTCCTCCTCATTTTTCTTTTCTTTTGTTCTCTTCTTTTTTTATTTTCTTGTTCTGCCACAACTCTTCGCGACACTCTCATTCTGCTGGCTTGCATGGCTACCCTCCAGGCGCAGGCCGATGCTGTCCGCAACGCCGTCACATCGAGTGCCTCATGCACGCCAGCCACCGTCGTCTCTCTCAAGTCTCTCCTCCTCCCTCACGATGCCGACTCACGACAGCAAACCGCAAACACCACGACGAAGACTGCACGCGCTGCGCCCTCCTCTCGACCACCCACAGCCGCGTCGTCGCGGCCCGGAACTGCGGCAGCAAAGCGGCGACCAGCCACAGCGCGTGACGATGCCCGGCAACCCGACGTGCAACCATGCCTCTCGGCCAAGGAAAAGGCCCAGCTGGCGACACACGTCATCAATGCAGCCTTAAAGGCCCTTGCCGAAGCGGCCAAACCGACACCACCAGCGACATCACAACCAGCACCGCCACAAACACCCTCACGCGCTCAACATCTCTCGAACGGCGGCGATGAAGTGCCTCCCAAGTCGACTGCAAGGGGCGGTCTGCGTCGGTCGATGTCGACGCCCATGACACCACTTCAGCCACGCACGCTCAACCGCGTCTCGACATCACCCACAAAGGCGACCGGCAAACCTGCCGCCGCAGCACTCACTGCTGCTCAGAATGCTCAGTGCTTGGCGACGGTGGAGTGCGCACGTGTCGCGTTTTCGACTCTCAGAACATTACAAGAGACAAAAGCCGTCGCGCTCCCAGACTTTCAGCTAGAGGCGGGCATGTCCTCATTTGTGGCCAAGCTGCTCGGCTTGAACATGCTCGATCAAGCCTGCCGCGAGTTGCGTGTTCTCAAGAAGCGTCTACAGGGTACACTGTCCACGACAGCCACGGAAACCATTTCCGCTGCGGCTACCGCGCCGGCAAGGCCTACAAAGGCTTTGAAGCCAACGGCCAAGACGACAAAGTCATCTGCACAGCAGGCTGCGGCACCAGCGGCACCACCGCCGTCGACAACATCGTTGGCCGCCGACATCCTCGATTACGGAGACGTGTCTGCCTTATCTATCCCAACGATCAAGCTTATTGTGGCGTCCCAACTCCAGGCTTTACGAATCCTGGCTTCCCTCAAGAAGCCCGCACACATCGACTCCGCGTTGCCGTTTCTTCGGCGTGGCTGCAAATCGTCGCCCCTCCAACTCGTCTCTATGTGCATTACGGCCACCGCCGCGAACCCTGCAGAACTCCAAAAAATGCTGCGGCAAATGGAAACCCTCTCTCAGCTTCTCCTGGCTCTGGCGCCCAGCATATCCGGCAAGGACGATGCGACCGCAATCGAGCCGAAGCTCAGCGTGGCACCCCTTGCCGCATTGGAGTTGCAGACCCTCAGCCTCGAGACCAGACTGCGGTGCTGGACGATGGCCAAGCAGGGCTCCGCCGACGCCGACAAAGACATTTTGATGCCGCTTTCCCGATGCCTTTCGACATATGCTCGACGAAGCCGAGCTTCTGGGAAGGCACCATCGTACTCGTTTTGCCGTGCTCGCTTCGACAACATTCTCGAGCTGATCCAAGGAGGACAGTTTGCTGTGTCACGGACCTCCAAAGCGCCGTTGGCGAGCGTCTTTCAAAACCTCTGTGCGGTGGCTCGGGAAGCTGGCCACATTGACGATGCCATCCACTGGGCATCTGAGCTGTTTGGTCTCGTGAACCCCAGCGACGACTCTGCCGCAAAATGCTGCTCGACCTCTGCTCAGCTTTTGGCGCTCCAGCTCAAGAACACCGCCAAGACATATGCACAGGATAGCCAGACACTGCTCGCTGGTGTTTTGGAGGCAATCAAAGGATCCGTCAAAGGCGACACAGCAGAACTGGAGGAGCTGCTTGCTAACGTGTGCCTGGTTCGCAAGTCCGCGGTCAATGTCTTGATGAACCAAACTCAGAAAAACACAAATACGAATTCGAATGCAAATTCGAATCCCAGTACCATCGCACAGTCGTTCAAGCTTCTCCTCGAATCATTCGTCTATCAATGTCCTCGTTTCTGCCTCCGATGGCTCGGAAAACCACCCGCCGCCAAAAGCAGCACCAAAGATTTTCTCCGCTACGAGCAGCGGCGCCAGCTACTCACGCAATCCATCCGCCACACGCTTGACTCGGCTTTCGTCGTGACAAAGACCATGATCGAGGAGGGTCGCATGGTCTGGGAGCAGCTGGACTCGGTTCTCAGCGACTCGTTGACTGTTTTGGAGTACCTCGGTGACTTGAAGTCTGTCGACTCCTCTTCGTCGTACTATGTCAAAATATCCCACTTCTACTACCTCAGCTACAATGTCCTACGGCGGAAAGAAGGCGACCATGGTGACCGCGATGCCCTGAAAGCACTACGGCGCGCAATCGACTGCATCAAGAACCGGCCCGGCCCCGAGAGAGAAAAGGCGCAGCTCATCCTCAAGCTGGAGCGCATGGCAGAGCTGGCTCGTGCCACTGGTCAGATCGGAGATGCCCTGGGAGCATTGCAGTCGATCCGTTCGAGTCTGGTCGACGATGGTGCGCTGAACACGGTGACTGCGGCACTCGGAAAGCTTCCTCCAAGCCTTGCATGGACGTCGACCGACCAAGCAGATGCTCTGTCACGCACGCTGGTCTCTATTCACCGACTTGAAGAGGTCCACATGGACTGGTCGGTTGGCCTCGAGGATCTTGAGCATGCGGCGGTTCTCGAGCACCAGCTTTATTTTATCCATCTCGGTCACGGAAGTGGTAGCTCGAGCTCAAAGTCTACCCAACCGCGTGACGGGCTTGACCTGTCGCATCCTTGCGTTGAGGCGCTCCTTCGTATCTACTACCCGACGCAATTCCCGGTTCGACGGCTGCGTACTCTTCTCCGTCTCTTCTCCGCTAGCATCGACAAGCCGGACATTCTTGCTGAAATTGCACCACAAACAAAAGCCGCGCTGGGCCTCATTGAGAGTCAAGGGCTTGCTGATGATGCTTCTCTTGCTGGCTACGTGCCTCACTACAAGTCTTTGGCCACTTCTCTGGCAGGCTTTTCCGAGGGATTCCCAGACATGCATGCCTTCTACGGCTCCCTGTCGGCCTGGAAGTCCGTTCTCGAGGCAAACCCGACGCTTGCAGAGTTGGAACTTGCCATTGACGACATCTCCGAATTTCAAACGCACCTCACTTCTGTCGCTGAATTCATGCGGGCAATGGGACGCGACGCTGCCATTACACGTGTCCTGGAGCTCTCTCAGTGCCTGTCGAACATTGTCGCTGGCTCTGGCGACAGTCGGATCTACTCCTTGCAGCCTGCGCAACACTCTGCACTCGCCCTGTCTTCGCATTACCTCCGTATGGGCGACTATGCAAAGGCAGAGACGACTCTGGAGGCGATCCGCAGTCACCTTGATGGTTCCAAGACAGCTCCCATGGCAGCCACAATCAGTTTTCATCTCTCCCGCGCCGAGTACCTTATTGCGGTGGGCCGGTTCGACGAAGCGTAAGTTGACTCTGCATTTTTCTTTTGTTTATTTTTATGATTTATTCACCCGGAATATGTACTCACCACTCTGACATCGTAGAAGCCAGCAGCTGCTTGAGGCAAAGCCTGTCAGCTCCGACGGGGCTTCCCAGGCTCAAAACCAATTCAAGATGACCGGATCTCATAAAAGGAGGCTTGGTGCCCACGCTTGCTTTCTCCAGTCACTTGTCGCCCTTGAAAAGGGCGACCACTCGGTGGCTCTTCAAAATGCGAGAAACGGCGTCCGAATGCTGTTCCAGGATTGGAGCCGAATGGAAAAGACAATGGAGCGACCACCTCTTTCCGCCGATAGCTCGCTGAGTGGCGAGGATGAGAGTAGTGCTGGTATTTCGGCATTGTCGTCCGCATCAGAGGGGTCACTCAATCCCAGCCCATCTCTCCGAGGATCGTCGGACCAGGAGCAGGCATCTCCGGCCACTACGCCCGACTCATCAATGGTCTTGTCGACAGCATCAGCATCGGTTGCTTCTCCCGAGTTCTGGGCGCTGTTCCACCCTCTCTTCGACAGCATGCTTCGTCTGTCTTCGATATACGCCCACCTCGGAATGGCCCAGGAGACCATGTACTACGCCGAACAAGCACAAAAGGTCGCTACCGTTACCAATGCGTCCCTGTCGCTCGCCCAAGCCGAATCCTGGATGGCGACGGTCTGCCTCAAAGCCGGCCAACTCGACAAAGCAGCCACGTTCATCGCCCAGTCTCGGTCCCGACTGGCTAACATGGACGCGACCAACCGAAAGGCGTCACTTGCTTGCGACCTTGCTGGCCTCTACCGAGAGATGAACGACGAGAAGAACGAGCAAGAAATGATGCAGGAGGCTGAACTAATTGTGCAGCGCGTCTGTGAACTTCCGGGTACCGTGAAGACACCGGAAACCGACCCAAACCCGACGTCGACCGAGGTTACGAATACGAGAACGACGTCGGGGCGACGGACAAAGGCAGCGGCAGCGGCGGTGGCTGCACCGGCAAACTCTACGGCACGAATGCCGAGCACCCGCAAGACGGCTGCCGCAGCCAAAACGGCAAAGAAGACCGCCGCGGCGGCTCAGAGCACGGCTGCCGTCGAAACCTCTTCACAAACTGCCGTGGCTGATGCATTGGCAGAAAACCCAGCTGCCCTTGGACTCCGCACTACCCTCTTCATGCAAAAGACCATGTCCCACTTGAGCAAGAAGGATTGGACCGCGGCTCTGGCCATTTTGAGGGCCAGCGCCAGCGACGCAACTGGGACTACCTCGCCAAAGAGCCAGTCCGGCATCCTGGCAGGACACATTGCGCTTGCTGCTTGCTTGTTGGGTCACAGTACAGAACAAATGGCCCGTGATGCGGTATTCTCCGTTATCCAGGACTCGACGCTTTCGTTCCCTGCGGTTAGCAGCGGTGTTATCGCAGCGGGCGGCGATGGAGACCGCGTCTCTCTATCAAAGTCGCCAGTGGCTGTCAAAGTGAAAGGAATGGCTTCTGCTCTGGGGAAACCGACCAAGAACACGGTTGGCTTTGTGGAGATGCTGCAAGAAGCCCAAAACTGCCTCATTGAAGCCCAGGCCATTGCTACTGTTACCGGTGACTCCGTGACCCTCAACCGGATCTCGAGCATGCTCCAGAGCGCCGTGATTGTTCTTTCGGCGACGTCCTGGAGCAAACCGCGTGCTCTGGGTCACCCTGGCTACGCCAGCTGCTCTGTCGAGCTGGCGCGTAACATGACATGGAAGCGGGAACGGCGGGCTGTTCTTGTTGAGAAGGCTATGCTGACGAAACAGGAGATTTCGGGTGAGGCATCTTGGTGGCCCGCAGTGGCACCGACGTCGGCAACCGCCGTGACAGCCGTCTCACCTACCGGCAGCTTGAGTGGTGGCACACCGAGGCGTCCTAGCTTTACGGCCGGTGTGTCCAAGATTACCGATATCCACATCAGCCGGTTCCAGCGCGACTACATTGACATTATCCCCAAAGACTGGAGCGTGGTTTCCATGGCGCTCAGCGAGAACAAGCACGACCTGTGCATTACGAAGCTCCAAGCTGGCCAGAGCCCCTTTGTCATCCGCCTCCCCCTGGAGCGCGCAATTTCACGCGACGCCGACAACGAAGTGTTCAACTACCAGCAGGGCCGGGCCGAGCTTCTTGAGATTGTGAAGTCCATCAACGACAGCTGCCACGGGGCCCGCGACATGACTGTCAAGGGGGCCAAGTCGTGCTGGTGGACAGAGCGTGAAGGCCTCGACAACCGCCTGAAGGAGCTTCTCGACAACGTGGAGCAGATTTGGCTCGGTGGATTCCGCGGCATCTTCTCTCAGCACGTGCGGCGGCCAACTCTGTTTGCACGGTTCCAAAAGACGTTCCAAGGCATCCTCGACAAGCACCTGCCATCCCGCCGGTCTCCCGCGCGTGGCAAGAAGCGGACTGGCAAGACAGCGGCGTCTTCGTCTGCGGCTGCGTCATCGACACGGGTGGCTCTAGATCCCCGTGTTCTGGACCTCTTCATCGGCCTTGGCGACGCAACGACGGAGGGCTGTGATTTCGACGATGTTCTTGACGACCTGCTGTACTTTGTGGTGGACATTCTACAATTCCATGGCGAGCACAATGCCTACGACGAGATTGACTTCGACTCCATGGTGGTGGAGACCTTTGACGCGCTCTTTGCTTACCACTCCGCCATTCACGACGGTCAGGCTCGGAGCTCGGCGACGGCGGCCGGCGAACCGAGCGATCACCTCCATAGCATTCTCGTGCTCGACAAGTCACTCCACGTCTTCCCATGGGAGTCGCTTCCGTGCATGAAGGAGCTGGCCGTGTCGCGCGTGCCATCTCTCGCCTGTCTTCGACGCCTGATCCTTGAGCAGCAACAGCAAAATCCCACAGACGCGGACGAGCTTAGAGAGCCACCGGAAGCCAATCGTCCCAGCGGACACCGCGCATCGCTTGCGTCGGGCGCCTACATGCTCAACCCATCGGGCGACCTGCCGTCGACAGAGGCCACGTTCGACGGCCCGCTGACGTTGAACGTCCGTGGCGCGTCCTGGAGCCGCATTGTGGGGCGCACACCGACGGAAGACGAGTTCGAGGCAATCCTCCGCGACAAGGACGTATTGCTGTACTTTGGCCACGGCAGCGGCGCGCAGTACATCCGCGGCCGGACAGTGCGGAAGATGGAACGGTGCCGCGCGACGACTCTTCTGATGGGGTGCAGCTCAGCGGGGCTCAACTACAACGGGGAGTTTGAGCTGCACGGCCCCGTCTGGGACTACATGCTGGCCGGGTGCCCTGCCGTGGTGGGCACGCTGTGGGACGTGACCGACAAGGACATTGACCGTTTCGCTGGGCAGGCGTTTGAGGCGTGGGGCCTCGTGCCCCAAGGCACCTTTGAGGAAAAGGACAAGGCGGGAAAGCGGACTGGGCCCTCGACCTCGACCAAAAAACGCAACGCGAGCCCGTCGTCGCGCGCTGCGACGGCATCGTTGGTGGAAGCGATTGTGTACGCACGCGACGCGCCTCGATTCCGGTATTTGACCTCGGCGGCCGTGTGCGTGTATGGCATTCCGGTGTACCTGCAATGAGAGTCACCCAGTTCACGCCACATGCAAATTTCGAATCATGCAGCATACAACCAGCCACCCGGGCATTTGCTTCTTCCGGGCTTCCTCAATTAGTCCATCGAGTCACACATACAGCCGAATCGAGACTACGCCAAGAGAAGAAAAGAGTCGACGACATTAGCCGGTGACAAGGAAGGAGGGAGGTTGCCATATGGTGTGGAGTGGGGCCTTACAGACAAACGACACGGGAAGATGCAAGCAAGCATGCCCACATCGGCGACAGAAAGGGGGGGGGGGGCACACACAAGTCTGGAAGAGTACGAGGTGGCACACATCATGTAGAGAGCTTCGAGGTGGGTTTTGTTTTTTATATTGTTTGAGCGAGGACCGACATTGGGCATATTTTTGGGTGTTTTGGATTGGAAGCATTGTGCACACTTTGGGTTGGCTTTCTTTTCTTTTCGCTGCTTTTTTGTATATTTTCATACCCATTACAGCATGGCCTTTTGGACCTCATTTTAATTTCTTGTTCAAGTTTCCAGCTCTTGCATCTCGCGTATTTGTACTGCGATCCCTTCTGTTGTTGTGTGTCATGTGGCAGCGAGTTCGACAAGAGGAGATGCAGTTGCGTTTAAGACACCATAAACAACAGATGACGAAAAAGTTCTGGCCCAGTTAGCCATCCATTCTGTTGTATCCCTGCTGATCTTTTATTCTTCCTTTTTGCCAGGTAGTATCCCTGTCCAAGACACGCCTGGGGGCAATAAATAGAAACAAGAAACTCGACGAAGGCGGTTGGTGGAATCCGGGGTAAACCAACAAACCTGATACCCGTCTCTCTACCCTGGGCTCTCATTTCGTGCAGCCCGCAATCCGGCACACCAATATTCTGCATATGCAGCTTTCTCGTCGCCCCCCCGCACGGCCTTTTTGTTATGAAGTCGGACCGTCAACGACTCGGGGGGCCTGTGCGGAACATTCCAAGTATGTCCTTTCGTCCTTATTGTTTTCCGTATTGGTTTTTTTGGACGCGAAGGAAAATGAGAAAACGCCACAGCGTAATTTATTTAAGATCAAAAACAGGGGCAGGAAGAAGCCCTTCCGGACTCCATTGGCTCAGGAGATAGACTAATAAACAAGGTGCTTGATACAGTTGTCCGCTGAAGGCTGTCTCGAAGCTAGAGACGTATTGGTGGAACGGCGGCGCATCGGACCATGTATAAGAATCGTGTTCTGCACCAACGACGCACCGCCTTATCGTAGGACACAAGAAAGGTTGCATTTCGAGATACACAAGGAGCGACATCGTGCAACAAGCGTTCATGCGCAACAGTCGTGTACAACAACAGCGCCTCGTTCAACGCATGCAAATGTTGCATTTTTGACGTGCTGGGCGCACACGTTGCGTCTGGCAAGATGGGCGGAGGCAAACTGGAGGCAACACAGTAATGACTTTACTTGTGGTCCCAGGTCTTTGGCAGGCCTGACGAGGTCACCCTATTTTGGGATGGCGCCTGCCTGCTTTTTTGAAACAGTAAAAGCCGAGGATCACAAGGTACAAACGACACGTCAATGGCGATGCAGCACAACGTGAGATCGACGCACCCATCCCAATCTGCTTGTGAAACCTTTTTTTATTCTTTTTTCTTTCTTTCTTTCTTTTTTTTGGCATGCGGAGTGTTTTTGATTGTCATAGTCAAAGGGCAAGGGACAGCAGAAAGGGGCGTGGACAATGATGATAAATACGGGCGGGATGCAAACATGCTTATATGCCTCATTGCCAACAAGTCATCTCGATTGTGAGACATTTTGAGGAGAGCTTGGGGGCGCAAAATAAAAAGGAGGACTACGAGCCACGAGTCGCGCATGAGGCCAGAGAGTGAATATTATATGCCTCTCCTCTCGTTGTGTCTTTGGCTATCTTTTGTCTCGAGCCTCAGGAAACGGCTATACATGGGCACTGAGCAGCGTGTTGAGTCCTGCCGTCGTCTGATAAAATAGGAGCGGGAAGCATACAGTGGCACACTGAAAACTGAACCGGGGACTATAATGGCGAGCGTAAAGCTCCGAGAAGAAAAGGTGAAAGGCGCAACATACAGGGGCAAAGAAGAGTCAGGGGAAAATAGGAAAACAAAATGAGAAAGGCAACACATAAATTGTGTCAATGGCGGCCCGCGAGTAGCTGCGCAACGACCGGTAGGAAATGCGGAAGGAGTAGTACGGTTAAGTTCGCTTATGGGTGAATTGGACAAAAACAAACAGCTGTCTAAATGAAGTATAAAAGAGCTGTGTATATATTATAGATATATATATGCACATCTCTTTATGCTCCGCGAGTGGGTACCTCTTTTTATATTGATATTCTAGTAAAAGAAGCCTCCGTGGAACGACTCGTCGAAGCTTCGGATGCATTCTCGCGACAATGCCATGACCACGACTCCAAGAACAAAAGGCGAGGAGGGGTATGGCTCTCATTTTATCCTGAGAAGAGGTGTGGTATTGACGTGTTTTGTAGATTGGCCTGTATATTTATTTGATATACTGCATGGTACAGGTATAGACTGCATTTTGTGGAGAGTCAGCCTTGCTTTTGCCCGTCTCGATCAAGAGGGCGTCGCTATTAGGCGAGGCTGGCTTGGCCGGATCGACTGCACGACATCTGCGAGATCGAGAAATGCGACTAGGCCTCACAGGCAACCTAAAATTGACGTTGTAGCAACTGTCTGCATTGAAAACGTAGGGAGAAATACGACCATACGCTGTAGCCCAGACCTGGGTCGTCCCAAGCTTAGCCGGCAGCCGGACACCTTCCCCCCGCCTTTCTTTGGTAGACCATGGGCGACATTCCCGGATGACGGCGCGTGATGAACATGCGCGCCCAGTTTGTCCTCGCCGCTGCCCACTATCATATCTGCGACTCGACGAGTTGGCAGCGGGCAACCGTTCGTCCTCGGTGGCACAGTTTATTTCGAGTCAGAAGGTGTGGCAGAGTTGATGGTTGATGGGTCCCGGACGGCCGGAGACCGTTCGATGCTGCAGTCATGCATCCAACCATGGGCGGCGGCGTCATAAGAGTCAAAAGGCAACATGAAAAGATGTCGGCTGCCGGCACGGCTGCCGGCCATGAAGCGTTTTGTGTGTGTGCTTGTGCGAATACACCTCTCACACGGCGCGTCGCAGCGCGATGCAAGTTGAGCCGCATCACACTGACTGCTCTACCTGCCTGCTCAAGGGTTTGGTACTCTGTACGACTGGCCCTGTTTGTGGGTCACTGGTAATGCACGCATGGCACTGGATCGGAGAGTAAAATGACCGAGAAACCACAACTTGCAAAACACTGGCATCAACCATTCTTTGGCGGATTTTGGTAGTCAGTAAACTGATGGCCATCCTCTACCATTTTCCTGTTTTCATTGGCAGGATCGCTTCTACCTTTGCTTGGCCCGTCTGGCTTCTTGGTTTCTGGTTTCCTGCGCTTCTTTCCCTTTTTCGGGGACTAATGGCACCATGTTATCCCGCTGTTAAGCAGCGGCGGGCGACTTCGGCCAGAGCGGGTCGTTCTCGCCCACTCGCAAGTCATACCTTGCATGGGACCTACGTAGACAACGCACTTGCGTCATGTGATGATGTCGTAGAGCCTTGCTACCTTGGGTGAGGGTTTTTTGATTTTTGTGCAGTCCATATAAAGGTCGACCAGCAGGAAGGCGCTCGGCACGGCTCGGACTGTGTCGCGACTCGCTCTTGCCATTGCAGTTGGCGATCTCAGAAGTGCTCCTGCCTTTGTAGCTACCGACTGGAAATAAGTGGGTCTTGACGGAATAGTTGAGAACTCCTTCAAACTGTCACAACTCAGGCACTGGACTTTTGACACCACAAAGTATGTGCCATTGACAGGAGTGTCTTACTCTTTTGCTCGCCTGGCAATAGACGCCGTATGTCGTACTGGGAGGGCGAATCATTATCAGTCTCTCGTGCCCCTTTTGTCGTTGGGCACGTGCCCATCAAGCCAAGAGACACCAAAGACTGCAAAGCCATGCCTGCTTCGTATTACCTTTACGCTGAGACAGTCTCGACAGCAACGGACGCGTGCTGTTCCTAACAAGGCGGGGGGAGACAACAGACAAAACCGAGGCGGAACGCACCACGGCGGCACTGATATGTCGCAGAGGGCCACCAGGTTGGACGCACCCAAGCCAAGCACTCATTAGTAAAGCATGATTTATTCTCCGGTCGGTCGATTCTCGGTATTCTCCATGACGTTTAATTGGCGGGAGGGGAAAACACTGCGTCGCAATCTGTGTTCTGACAGCGTCCTTTGGCATCCTTGGCTCCACCCATTTAGTCCCCCGTGTTTTTCTCGCCGTACGCGCCTTCCCGGCCTGCCACTCTGACTACTGCTCCTTCCTCGGCCAGGCAGCTAAGGAGTATTACGATGTACGCCCACAGCGTATAATGGCTGCCAACACGCACCGGCCGATTTGTAGAATGAAGCAACGGATACGAACTGCGTTCAGAGGACTCTCATCGATGCTGCCATTGTCGAGCCTTGTGGTTGCAGTCGACTTTGGGGCACAACAGATCGCTCCCTGTCGTAGGACACGAAACTGGCAGAACGTCCAGATGTGGCGTAGCGCCCTGTGGAGAAGGAGCGTCCCCCTCCCTCCTTCCTTCTCCACAACATGGGGTAAATTCATTCTCCATAGCCTTTTATTTTCAGCGAAGTTGGTCACCTGCGGTTCCGTCGGTCTGGATGTAATAGTAGATTTCGTCAGTGTGCTCTCATTCCTCTTATTGCTTCCTTTTGCTTTTTGCTTTTTGCATACTTCCCCGCCCTTCTTCATTTTTTCTTTCTTTGCACAGCTCTTTCCGTCACAAATAGATCGGCGGCGTGAAGCCCTGTCGCGCCTGCCTTTCTGGTAATACAAAGCGTGCCTTCCGTCCCATGTCAATGTTAGCTCTTGCCATTCCCCAATTCTACCATGAAGAGGGGTCCGCTTAAACGCCGCCACCAGTTGGTTTATTTTACTTTATGTTACCGTATTCAGCCCTCATGGCGTAGCCTGTCGTACAGCCAGCCCTCTGCTCTCCTCTCTGTTATTGTAGGGCTTTGGTTATGATAGACTGGCCGCATTATGAGTAGTGATTATTAACTGCTATGCTCCTCAGAACGGAAAGCACAGATTTGACTGTGCCCCCCTTCGCTCTTTCCGTCTGTTGCTCCATTTGGCCCAGTGCTCCTTCCTATGCCTCATGCTGTGCAAGAACACTCCTGCCATCATTGTTTTGAACTGAACCAGTGTCCTATGCGCTTTCCTTTTTCTGTCTCTTGCTGTTTCCTCTTCGAACACACCGTAGCCCCTTTTGAATTGTTGTCGTTTTTTCGATTTCTCGATCTCCTACTTTTGTCACCGGCTTCGTTTTTGACTCTTTCTTTTGTAGTCATTCTTCCCCCTTTCCGGGGTCTTTTTGCCTCTATTTTGCCTTATTCGTTCTTCTCCGCTCTCCTCATCTTTAATTTGCACGTCTGGGGACATTTTCCTTTATCTCTTTTATCTCTCCAGCATCTCTTCTCCCAACTACCTCGTTTCTATCCCTCTATTTTCCTCCCCTTGTCCAAACATCCTCTGCTTTGATCTCTTGCCATCAACAACATAAGCCACCCACTTCGACCTCAATCTCCGACTGCCACCCTTGCCAAGGCACAAATTTTGCTGAAACAAAGCACCGGGCAGCTTGGTTGCCTGGCTCTCTCCAACGTCCAACAGGCTGGCGATAAATTCGTACTTCTGCGTCATTGCGTCTTTGCTTCTGGTCTTGGCCCCGAGCAGTCCCTGCATCACCATTCGATACGCCGCCCCAGGCACATGCTCTCGACATCCCGCGTCGTTCGCTCCACAGCCCGCCTTCGCCCACCCGCACCCCATTTCCCTTTTGGCCTCAAGAGCGGTACGCAGTGCTGGACAGAGACACAAAAGTACCAACGTCGCTCGCACCATTGCCACACTTTGTCCCAAGGCGCGCGCGGTGCTCCCGCAAACACAACGGCCTCGACGGCATTCTCCACTGTGCCTGCCAACGCCCCAAAGACGATCGTTTTTCTATTGCTCCTCGCCCTCCAGTACAAGTCCGATCTGTGTCGAGCCGCGCGTGTCCGGCCGTTGAATACTCCTCGGCCGTTTGTCCTCGTCCACCGACTCCCCTGTGCTTCGACTGTCCCAAAGCGACGCCTACCGAACGCGGCGCCTTTTTTTTTTTTTTTTTTTGGTCCACGATTTAACATCAGTTGGCCCTGGGTTCTGGCTTGGCGCCCTTGTTTGCCTCTGCCAGCCAACCCCGGTTTCCGTGATCGACTATTACTGGCAACAGCTTGCGCTTTGCTCCACACTGTTTTCAATCCTGGGGCTCCTCCGCTCGGCCAGGGCTCTCCAACTGTCTAAACTTTTTCCTGTCTAGTTTAGCTCCGTTGCAGCTCGCTCATCTTCATACATTCTATGGTTTCTCTCTATTCCTTTGTTCAACTTTCCTCTCTTTTCCCTTTTTTCGCCGCATTTGCGATTTCCTTGCGCAGTTCCCTGCATTTTTGGCGACAACTATCACGTCTGCTACTCGTTGGCCAACCCGTCTGACTCTGCGCCGCCTAGTACATCGCCTTCCGTCCAACGCGTCCAGCATTTTTCCCTCACGCCCTCTTTTGCTCGCTTGCTCCCCCCTCTCTCTCCAGCCTCCTTTCCACTGCAATATTTCTCCCAAACGAGTCCAGACTCGTCCTCGAGTGTCGCTGTTCGCCCACCTTCCCGCCTTCCTCCTTTTTTTCTCCCTGATACTGGCAGCCTTATCTCACCGCCCGCTGTTCATCTTTCCGACGTTTCTGTTCTGCTGAGGCAGCGACTCGTTCTCGCGCCGATCAACAGCCTTTGAGTTTGGCGCACAAGCAGTGTCGGCATACGGATTACACCCATCGAGACAGCAACCAGACAGGTCGCTGTCCGACATACAATCACGCGGCGTTCCAATACAACGAGCAAGCACGACTTCCTGAAAGCTTGACACCTACGCGCATTTATTGTTGTTTTCGGTTTGTTTGAAAATTGTCGGGCAATTTATTTTGGGCGTACCTGAGTACTTTGTCTCTTTTGGCCGCGAGTCTTGAACACTCCTTCTACACATTCTCGCACAAATCCCAACGGCTTCGACAACTTCAACTGGTTTTCCCACAGCCCCGTCAACACTTCTGTACTATCACGGACTCCGTTGACGGCCTCCTACAGCTAACTGGCACGGAATCTGCAAAGGCATTGGAAGGACGCAATGGCCTTTTTTGTTTCGACTTCTTAACCGGTACCGTTCCTCCAAATAGCATCCAAGAACAAGTTTCTACCGATCGGCCTGCATCACACCTTCTGACCGGAGAAGCTGTGCAATACCTAGCCGACAGTCAACCCGCAAACGACACGAGCGCGGCACGCACAGACTGCAGAGTCGAAAAAGTCCAAAAAATTCGAATAAGTCGTTGCCGGGGATCGATTGTTGTGTTTGCATTTGCGGATCCGCTGCGACGAGGCGCCTTCGACGATCGAGCCTGTCGCGATACGGCATACATTCGTACTGGAATTGCTTATCGATTCCGATGCATACTGCATAACCAAACCGAATTTCTCCCTGCATCTTCAAAGTTAAACCACCCGTTACCGTCTTGTATTCCGGCGCTACCTGGCTGCCGATGAATGACGACGGCGGCATCCTGGCCCCGGACCAGCTTACACTGGGCGTGACAGTCGACAACTCCACCCCATCAACTGCTGCCGTCGTGACCATGGATCCTGCAGCTGGCGCCGGCCAAGATGCTGGCAACGTTGACGCGGGCATGATCGAGGTCGCCTCTCCGCGTTTCGATGACTTTCAATTTTCGCCCTACCCGGGCTTGAACGATGACGGCAACACGATCGTTGCCCTCACAGATGACTCTACAAATTTGTTCGCATCACCATCGCCCGCATCTGTGCTCCCTGGGGGTGCACTTGTCGACAGCACGGACGCGGCAGTCTTGGAGACGGGGCCCGCCGCCCCCAACACTGCCGAACCTGCTCTGACCGAGACCGGAAAGCAGCAGCCGACAGCAGCCGAACCTGGCGGACCAAAGACGAAGCCGAAAACATCAAGCACGACCAAAGCCGCCAAGGCGAAACCATCCTCTTCACAGACCCAGGACGACAACGCGTCATCCAAGTCATGCCAAGCTGGTACGGAAGAGGCTGCATCCGACGATGGCAGCCAAGGTAGCAGCGAACATGACCACGGGGCGTCCTTGCTGGAAGAGCCCATCTCAGATGAGTTTGGCCTGGTACTGAATGATCCGGCCTCCATGGAGGTGCGCGGGGCTGGTGGTAGTGGTAGCGGCAGTGGAGGCCACCGTCCATCGTTCTTAGGCAAGGACGAAAGAACGGGCAGTGCTGACGCCACCCCAGCGTGGAGCGAGCTCAAGACCAAGGCGGGAAAAGAGCGCAAGCGGCTCCCTCTTGCCTGCATAGCTTGTCGCAGGAAGAAGATCCGGTGCTCTGGCGAGAAGCCTGCCTGCAAACATTGTCTGCGCTCCCGCACCCCATGTGTCTACAAAGTCACGGCCAGAAAGGCAGCACCCCGCACCGACTACATGGCCATGCTCGACAAACGCCTCAAGCGCATGGAAGACCGCATTATCAAGATCGTCCCCAAGGCTGAGCAGGACCCCGCAGTTATGACATCGGTTAACCGTGCTGTGGTCAAGCCGGGTATCCCAGGAGCGGGCGCATCAGGCGCCACTAACGGGACGGCCTCCGTGTCTGGTGCGTCCAGCGGAAAGGGCTCTTCGAGCAAGAAGCGTGTGGCCGACGAGGCGTTTGGGCCCGAGCTGGATCATTGGGCTCGCATCGGCTCCAAGAACCGGACCGGCAGCGTGGCTCGCCCGCATACCATGCTCTTACAGCAGGAATCTGAAGAGAACAAGCTGTTCCAAGAAGGCGCCGACGCTCTTCCGTCCCGCGAACTGCAAGAGCACCTGGCGGAGGTGTTCTTTGAAAACATTTACGGCCAAGCTTACCATCTCCTCCATCGGCCGAGCTACATGCGGAAACTAAGGTACGCTGCCAACGGTTCTCAATTTCTCTTGACTTTTATGCTACGACGTGCTAGTAATAGCTAATTCTTTATGACGTTTAGTGCTGGGACATTACCTCCTGTCTTAATCCTTTCTGTCTGTGCTGTTTCGGCTCGTTTTTCGCCGCACCCTGTTTTTGGAAATGTGCCCAACTTTCTGCGGGGGGAAGAATGGGCCTTGCATGCGCGTGAAATTGTGACACGGCGATACGAGTGGCCGAATATCACCATTTTGACGTGCCTCCTCATTCTGGGTCTTCATGAATTCGGTACCTGCCACGGCGGTCGCAGCTGGGCGCTTGGCGGCCAGGCCATTCGCATGGCCTTTGCCCTGCAGCTCCACAAAGACCTCGAGCGCGACCCATTTCCTCTTCCGGGCGGTGCACCGTTGAGCTTTATCGACCGTGAAATTCGACGACGGACAATGTGGGCGTGCTTCCTGATGGACCGGTTTAATTCCTCTGGAACAGACCGCCCGACGTTTGTCAAAGAAGAGTCGGTGAAGATTCAACTGCCCATCAAGGAGAAATATTTTCAGCTGGACATGCCTGGCTCGACAGAGAATCTGGCCGGCCAGCCCGTGACACCGACAGCGGCCGACATGGGAACCGACGACGGCCAGCTCTTTGACGCCAAAGACAACATGGGGGTGGCGGCATACATGATCCGGGCCATCGCTGTCTGGGGCCGTGTTATCAACTACCTCAACCAGGGCGGCAAGGAGCTGGACCCGCACCCTATGTGGAGCCCCGAGTCCGGCTACACGAAGCTTGCCAAGCAAGTTGACGAGATGCTCTCGAGCTTGCCGCCGTCCCTGACCTTTTCGACCGAGAATCTGCAGCTGCACGAAGCCGAGGGCATGGCAAACCAGTTTTTGTTTCTGCACATTGCGATCCACCAAAACATTTTGTTTATGAATCGCTTTGCCGTGTCGTCGCCCACTGGAAACTCGATGCAGGACGCTGTCCCCAAGTCCTTTGTCACCAAGGCTGGCGCAAAGGCCTTTGCCGCTGCCAACCGCGTATCCGAACTCCTCAAAGATGCCGAGAGCTTCCTCGTCGCCGCTCCCTTTGTCGGGTACTGTGCATTCTTGTCCAGCACTGTCCACATCTTTGGCATCTTCTCTGGCAACCCGGCCATGGAGGCGCCGTCGAAGCGCAACCTCGCCACCAATGTCAAGTTCTTGTCCAAAATGAAGCGCTACTGGGGCATGTTTCACTTCATGGCCGAGAACCTGAGAGAGCAATACCGGTCGTGCGCGGATGCGGCGCGTCAAGGCACCCCTGCCAACGAGAACGCAGCTGCATCGTCACCCATCTTCCAGTACGGCGACTGGTTCGACCGGTACCCCCACGGCGTGTCGAATTCCGACTTTGGCGACGCGGCCTCATATAAGAAGAAGGAAAGGGGGGACGATGCCGTGCTCGAGCAAAAGCCCGAGCTGCACACGGTAGAGGAGTTCTTTGTTGCTGTGGCCCCGCAAAATGCAGACGGTCACGCCGGAGCAGGTGCTGGTGGCGGTGCAAACGGCAACCAGCCCGGACGAGACGGAGCTGCGGCTGGTGGCAGGACGGGCTCAAACGCAAAGAGAAAGTCCGTGGCTAAGAAGGGATCGAGCAGTGCGGTGTCGTCTCGTACCACGGAACAGCAGCCAGTCGACCCGGGTATGGCCGATCTTGGGGTAGGAAACCCGGATGCTCTCCAGCAACAGCAGCAGCAGCAGCAGCAGCAACAACAACAGCAGCAACATCACGCAGCACTCCAGCAACAGAATCACCCCCGGGCCCAAGGTATGCATCATGGACGGCACTTTTCGGGCTCACTGAGCGGACAATCGGGAGCGCCAACCAATTTCAACCCGATGCCCATGCCACAGTCGCAGGCTGCCGCATCCTTCCATCCGGTTAATGTCAACCCCTTTGCGCATCCTCACCACCCACAACAGCAGCAACAGCAGCAGCAGCAGCAAGCCTTCTACCAACCTGACCTGCTGGCACTGTCCCTGGCACAGCAAAACGGTGGCATCATGCCACAACTCGACCGTCAACTTGTCTTTGGCGCCTACGGTGGTAGTCTGGATGTTACTGGCGCTTCCGCTATAAATGGCGGACACGGTCCATTGGATAGCATGGGTTGGGATGCCTCCGGCTCAGGAGGTGGCAGCGGCCGTCAAAGAGGAAGCGGTCAGGGCGCGGGACAAATGGCTGGCGGAAGTGATCATGCTGTGCCTTCCGGCGTCGCTGTGATGCATCCATTTGGCCATCCGCAGGAGCAGTCGTCGGCGTGGTTCATGCCCTTTAACATGGAGCCTCCCGAAATGGGCCAAGACCTGTCCGGCATGAGCGGTTTGGACCAGTTTGCCGGCATCTTTGGTAACAACAACGTGGCACCTGGAGGTGGCAACGGCGGCCTCGGCGGCCTGCACCATGGCAGTGGATAGAGAACCTGTCCATGGAACAGGCTTGTTATACGCCTATTCAGTACCACTGTCGACTTGATGTATATTCTTTTGTGTCTTGTTTTACTCCGTTTACATCAGCAAGATATCATTTTGGTTTTGGGATTTTTGGAAGGTTTAGGTAAATGGGACTCAAGGAGAAAACAGCTTCAGCAAGGTGTTCTTGCCCTTTTCGATTCTTAGCGAATGACACTTTTGCCGGTGTTTTCTAACACTTTTCGAGCTCGCGGACTAGCACACAATCAAAGACGTGAGAAATGGACGCCAACAGCACAAGACATCAAAACGTTTATTTCTGGGTTCTGTATGGATGAGTCGCGAGCGTTTGGGATTCAATGTCCTGGAGGATAGCTAGACAATACAACGACCGACTTACGTTTCACGGGGATAGCTAGCCAAAAGAACGATCGACTTACGTGTCACACGTCTTTTATTCCAGCATGCTTGGCTTCTGTGGTTTGATGCCTGTTCGCGTAGAAGTAAACAATGGCTGTACAATGATGTAAACATTCAGAAATAAAGTACACTGAACCAGCCTTCGTGGTTTTGCCAAACCTTCCTATGTGCGCCTCAAAATCACAATGAAGAACAGAACAAAGAAAAGGAACAAGAAATAAAAAACACGATGGTGACAAAATCCGCAAAATCAATCCAGCTGCACCCTGGCAACATGCAACTCCAGAATGGAAACCACACACAGCTCACCATCTATTCGTCACTAGCCTTGCCCTTGCCCTTGCTCTTCCGCGACCGCTTCTTCTTCTTCTTGGGCTTGTCGGCATCGCTGTCGCCGCCCTCCTCTTGGTGCTCGCTCTTTCTCTTCTTGTGGCCCGATGCCTCGGCCTCGGGCGCGGTCGCCTCGTCCGCCTCGTCCACAAAGCGCTCAAAGCCAAACGTCGGGCCCGAGTGTTCGTAGTCGGCGCCAAACGTGTCGCGGCGCCACTGCCGCAGCCGTGCCTTCTTGCCCAGCTTCTTGCGGTCTTTGCGCTTGCGTTCCTCGTCGCGGAAGGTGGCCAGCTTCTTGAGGCCGGCAAACTCGTTGAGGGCCGCATCCGAGGGCGCCAGCAGAATGTCGCGGGCCGTGAGGCCAAACGCTTGCGGGCTGGTCTCGCGGTAGCGGAACCGACCGCCGAGCTCGGTGTTGACGCCCGTCGCAGGCCCGGCGGCAGCCAGGGCGGTCGGGTCGTCGAGCGCCATTTGGCGGTCAACGAGCGCCTCAATGCGCGCACGCTCGCGACGCGCCTCACGCTTGGCGTCGGCACGGTCCTTCTTCAGGGCCTTGCCGGTCTTGCGGCGCTTCGACGCGTGGCCCTCCTCATCGTCCTCGTCGTCCTCGTCGTCCTCGTCGTCCTCGTCGTCCTCGTCGTCCTTGTCGTCGTCGCCCGCCTCCTCTTCATCATTCTCATTGTCATCGTCCGACAGGGCGACGTTGGGTAGTGCCTCGTCTTCAAAGTCAGGGATCAGGTCCTTGATGTCGATGTCGTCGTCCCACTTGGGCTTCTTGGGCCGGTTCTTTTTGCTGCTCTTCTTGCCCTTCTTCTTTCCAGTGGGGTCCGCATTGTCGCCGTCCGCCTCCAGCTCGTCCTCCAGACTAGCGTCCTTCTCGGCATAGTAGTCGTCGCCAAAATGCTTGCGCATCTTGCTCTCCCAAGCGTCGTTGTCCCAGGCGTCGTCGAGCAGACCCATCCACTCGTCCTCGGCCAGGTCGCGGCCCGCCACGCCGGCCGCCTGCTTGATCTTGGCCAGCTTCTCCTGGGCCTCCTCAATGTTTAGCCTGCGCAGACGCGCCCGCTCCTCGCGGCGGGCCTGCTTCTCGGCCTCCTGCCGTTCGCGCTCCTGCTCGCGCTGCCGCTGACGGGCCGTCTTTTCCTCGCGCCGCACCGACCGCTCGGACACCACGGTACGGGAGTACGACTTGAGAACCTCGTTGCTCTTGTTCGGGTCCTCGAAACGCAGGTTGTACGCGGTTTCAAAGGCCTCGGCGCGCTCGCGATTGTTGTCCTCCTCCTCCTCCGAGTCAAACGCCTCCCATCCGGGGCCGGTCGTCTCGTCGTCGGGGACCCATGCACGCGAGGAGACAAAGTTGGACAGGAAGAGGGCCGGGTCCTTGTCGGCGTTCTCGACGTCGACCTTGGTGATCTTCTTGATGTGGCCGACACGAGACGGGTGGACGCCCGAGGCGGCGGCCGACTCTTTGGCGGCCTTGGTCGAGGCCTTGGGCTTGATGAATGCGTCGGCGTCGTCGGCGTCGTCGTCGTTGTCGCTGGCAGAACCACCGTCGGCGGCGTTCATCGAGTCGACGAGTGCCTTCTTGAGCGCGTCCTGCTCCTGCTGGTAGGTCTTTGTGAGGGATGCACCGCCGGGGCCGTTTGTGTTGTCGTCGTCGCTGTCGTCGTCGGCACCGACGTCGCCGCGCAAGTAGCGCTCACGGTGGTAATCTTGGAGGTAGATGGGCTTCTCCTTGGGGTCTCGGGCGGATGCCGCTGCGGCCTCCTCTCCCGCCTTCTCGGCCTCGGCGGCGTCAAAGAACTTGGCGTCCGCGTTGTACACACGCGGGTCCTTGTTTTTGATGGCTTGCAGGGCAGCTGACATGCGAGCGTCGAGGTCTTCGGTCAGGAGGTAGCCGTCTTCGTCTTCGGTGCCCTCGTCGGACGAGGACTCGTCATCGTCCATGTCGTCCGCTGCCTTGCCGTACTTTTCCTCCACTGCATAGTTAGTATGTCAGCTGTCAGCATGCAGTTCACCGTAACGACAATTGAGGTTGAATTGTCGAATTGTGGGGTGTCGGCTCACGTTTCTGCTTCTCTTCGCGCTTCTTGTTGTGCTCGTACCGCCGAGCGTACTCCTCGTTGATTGTGAACGAGGCAGCCTTGCCTGCGGCGCCCGAGCCAAAGGCGTTGGCCCCGTCCTCATCGTCGTCGTCGTCGTCCTCAAAGAGCCGCTTCATGGGATTCTTGCCGGCTGGCGCAGCCTCGTCGATCGCCATGTTGTCGGTTTGTCCGCTCGGCTGGCTTGACTCTTGATCTTGTGACGCTGAGTTGAAGGAGAGTTTGCGTGACGAGAAGGCACCCACAGCACCAAAGACTTTGCCGAGAAATCGAGACATAAAGAATGAAGAAAAGCAAAGGGCAAAAAAAAAGAGGGTCGCGATGGGGTTATGCCTGCATGGAGTTTGATTTGTTTTTCTTTTCTTTTTCTTTTTTTTTTTCTTTCCGAGTCTCCAAACTTTCGTCGCAGTCGTAGCTTCCTCGCTTTTTTAGTGGAGCCAAACTTTTTTTCAGAGCCTGCAGGACGATAAGATAAGGCAGGCGCCAAAGCGTGTGGATCCCCTGTCGGTCGCGCCTGCCAGCGATCTTTCTTTTGTCGTACGACGTAATTGCTCCGTTCTTCCTTCCTAATCAGAGCACCCGGTTCCGGCAATACCTAATTCCGTCCCAAGGCTGCCAGCGAAGGACAGTGCCGCACTAGGCCCCAGGCGGATTGGCTTCCAAACCTCCCGATTACGTTGGTCTGCTTTGCGTGACGCCGCCACTGCCCGCCACCACTCAATCCAAAGGACAGGCTGCCTCGATCGTGGACGTTCGACTTTCCGACCTTTTCGTCTCTATTGCCAACTCCGCATCGTCTTCGCATACCTGGCCTCTCTCAGCCCTTAATACTCCTTCCACCAACGAGCTCTTAATACGGATACTTTGTCCGCTCCGACTTTTACCGCCGTTAACTTCCAGCGGCATCGTCACCAATCGTTCTCCTTTACAACCCCGATCGACACTTGCAAACCGAAAGGGGCCGGCCTCCTATCCTCGCAGAGCCTTCAGACTTCCGACGTCTCCCATTTAGCGGCCGTTTGACCCTGCCGACTTGCAGTTCTCGTCTTTAATCGTTTGTTGACCGAATCATACCACATCATCCGTCATCATGGTGGATGCAGCATCGAAGCCGAGCAGCAGCGTGAAGCTGGTTCTTCTCGGCGAGGCTGCCGTTGGCAAGGTGCGCTTATTTTGTTTGGAGCTTGATTGAACAGCGAAGTGTATGCAGGATGTCGGAAGAAGCACTTGGCTAACGTCATCTACGTTGCAGTCTTCTCTTGTCCTGCGGTTCGTCAACAACGACTTCCAGGAGAACAAGGAGCCGACGATCGGCGGTATGTAATGCTGTGTCTCCCTTTCTATCAATGGGCTTTGTCCACCAAATGCTGACTTTCCTGCTCCCCCGCCCGACAGCTGCCTTCCTGACACAAAAGTGCAACCTGCCCACGCGGACGATCAAGTTTGAGATCTGGGATACCGCCGGCCAAGAACGCTTCGCCTCGCTCGCCCCCATGTACTATCGCAATGCTCAAGCCGCCCTCGTCGTCTACGACCTTACCAAGCCGACATCGCTCATCAAGGCGAAGCACTGGGTCGCCGAGCTGCAGCGCCAGGCCTCGCCCGGCATCGTCATTGCCCTCGTCGGCAACAAGCTCGATCTGACAAACGATGCGAGCGCCGCGGCGGGCGGCGACAGCAGCAGCAGCAGCAGCAACAACAACAACAACGACGCCGACGACGCCGACAGCTCCGACGCCCGCAAGGTCTCGACCGAAGAGGCCAAGACGTACGCCGACGAGGAGAGCCTGCTGTTTTTCGAGACAAGTGCCAAGACGGGCACCAACGTCAACGAGGTGTTCAACGCCATTGCCAATGCGATCCCAGAGACCTCGCTCAAGACGACGCGGGGCGGTGCGGCCGGTGGCGCGGCCGGTGCAGGCGGCCGGGCGGGCGGCGACGCCAACCGGGTGAACCTGCAGGGCGCGCGCGACCAGGGCGCAAAAGACGGCTGTGCTTGCTAAGCGGCCGCGGCGAAGACGGCGACAGACGACGACATGGAGACTGGACGATTCCAGAACGCGTTGGGCCGCGTCGAGGAGGACGAGCGAGAGACGAGCGTTTCACTGCCGGGGAATGGCCGGGGGATGCACGCACAGCCGGTGATGAGAAGGC